CACACATGCCAGACAAGCATGCTACCGCTTGAGCCGCATCCCCAGCCCAGTAGAGAATATTTCTGAACATAGAATACTACACAAAATGTTAGGATTGAAGGAGTTAGCCCCCCCCCCCAAGAAAAAAAAAAAAAAAAGAATGCCTTTGTGATATAAGAAAGTTCACAAATGTATTAGTTTCAGACTCTAGCTGCTAAAGCAAAACATTGGCAGATTGTAGACTAGAATGACTTTTAAGAATTTGTTTTTTGCAGGTGTGTAAATGGTATTCCAAATTTGTATAGAGATTCCTTGCTTTTCTAAAGGGTACTTAGCCAGTAATTGCAAGACCAAATACCTAAAATACTATGTCTAAACAAAATATATAAAAAAACAAACAAGGAGGGCTTGGGATGTGGCTCCAGCGGTAGTGCGCTTGCCTGGCATGCTCGGGGTGCTGGGTTTGATCCTCAGCACCACACAAAAATAAAGATGTTGTGTCCACCGAAAACTAAACAAAAACAATAAAAAACCAAGCAAACAAAAAACAAGGAAGGAAACAAAATAGAGTCTTGCCCCTTTACTGCCAAATAAAAGCACATAGTTCATGTACATGAATTTATGTACTTAAAAAGAGTTCCTCAGACCCTCTTGCAGGATCTGGGTTACACTTACTGTGTATTCAACTGTGATATCCTTGTTATTTGGTTTTCTAACATTTTTTGTTATCAGAAATAAAAGTATAAAGCTTTGGTTGACAGGAAACTCATTTAGACCTTTTTTAAAATGCTAACTAAGCATTGCTGTTTGTGGGTGTGTATATTAAACAAATATATATCTACTAAAATATTTAAGCAATATTTCATATAAGAATGTTTTTCACAGAGGAACTTTAATTTATTGTCCAAGCTAGGACATTTTTGAGTGAAAAGGGGAGCAGTTATTAATTGTTGGCAGTGGATGGAAATCAATGTTGTCCCAGGTGAGCTGGACTGTTGCTCACCTACCTTCTGATCCAGAGTTAATGACCCAATGGCTGCCCTCAGACCTCTAGCAAGCCCTATTTTATTTATTAGCTGACTGAAGTTTCAGATGATTGACACAGTAATGTGTGCATCCTTTGGGCTCTTGAGTGACATTTCTCTTTTCATAGTAATTGACCTTCCCATAATAGTAATTTGGAAACTTTATTATTGAAAGGTAGGAAGAAGTGCATACATACAAAGCATATTAAAATTAATCTTTGTTTTAATAGTACAAACATGTGTGCATGCAATTAAGTTCGTCCTGCCCAAAGAAATAGCAGTTCAGATGCTTGTCAAGTGGTACAATGTCCACAGTGCACCAGGAGGACCCAGTTATCACTCCGAGTGGAATTTATTTGTGATTTGTCTCATGAACATGATGGGTTATAACACAGACCGCTTAGCGTGGACCCGAAATGTGAGTAAATTCAATTGTTTTTCTTCATGAACTATTCTATTATCAGTGTAATGTTTGCATAATTGGCAATGTAACATTCAGAATATATAGCAGACAGATTTAAAAATAGCTGTACTTTATAAAATATTGGACTAATGCCAAGGCTTATTGTGTTTATGTATTGTAAATCAAATGTCACTTAATTAGTGATTATGATCACTAGTAAAATGTTATTGAGTTTATAAAGTTTTAAAGCACATTTGACTGTTTCTCATTTCATTTTAAAATGCCTGCTTGTTATGTTAGGATTAGTAGTAGTCTTGGTTTTGTTAGTCAAGCAACTAAATCACAGAGATGACAGACCTGTGATTTGTTCAAAGCTGGGACTAGGCTGTGCTTCTGACTCTTGGCTTAATGTTCTTTTCTGAAGGCAAGACTGTCTTTACACATGCACTTGAGGAGGAGGGTTGATTTCTGGGGGATTGGCAGTCTTGGCCTGAGTATTGACCCCACTGTGGGCATAAGACTGGATGCCTCACCTCTCACTGGGATTGGCTAGTAGGCTCTTTGTAGGTATTTGAGAACCCTTCAGTGTGGTACCTTTAGTATGGGCTGTTTCCTTCCATTTGAGATTACTCCCAGGACAGCCCTGCCCGGGTCACTCTGAAGAAGTCACTCTAGAGCACACTTACCTTGGTTCAGGCCAGTTAGCTGTGTCCAACTATACATTTTAGCCTTGGGCTAGCAAACCCATTAAAAAATCATGTGCTTATTGAGGAAAATTTGGAATATGAAGGAATTAAGAAGAAAATAATAATTATATTTTGTTACTCAGAAATAGCCACTCTAGGGGCTGAGATTGTGGCTCAGTGGTAGCACACTTGCCTAGCATGTGTGAGGCACTGGGTTCGATTCTCAGCACCACATATAAACAAATAAATGAATAAAGGTCCATCAATAACTAATTAAAAAAAAAAAGAAATAGCCACTCTAAACATTTTGATGTTGCTTGTTAGATTAAATGCTATAAGTGGAAATTTCCCACATCTTTAAAAATAGTTCACAAAAGTCCTTTCATTTATATTTAGTTATGATAATGTGGTTTTATCGTAACTAAGAGCTAAAAGTTAAGCATTGTTGAGTCCTTTTTTTCTTATTATGAGTAATTTGCATGCATCATTTTCCACATAAATCTATACCCACACTCTTAGGGATTTCTTAGAGAACGTCCACTCGGTGTTCTTGCCGAGGTCAGCCAGGCACCTGTTCTGCCTTGTTGGTTATATATGTTGGTGAACCTTTGCCAGCTTCCTTTAAGATTTTGTCTGATTTCTGTGTAAGTAACTGTGAAGTTTGTTTCTCAGATTTGTAGTCATTTATAGTTCTTAGGTTTTGATCTGCAGTTCATGTCCGTTGCCTGTGTTTGTCTCTCCTCAGCCCAGCAGCCAAAGCAGTCCTGTCTGATGAGGTCAGGTCATGCTAGTTATTCTGCCAGAATTCTCTAGTGGCTTCCCATCCCGTTCAGAATAACGGGATGGGAAGCCACAAGTTGCCCTCTGACTCAGCTCTCTCTTACCTCCCTGTCTCCTCCTTTCTTATCTCTGCCTTGCATACATTATCCCAGCCACACTAACCTCCCTTCTGTTCTCTGAGCATTCCCCTGTGTTCTACCTCAGGTTCTTTGAACTTGCAGTTACTGCTACAGAAAATGCCTCCCTCAGGCAAGACGCTCAGGTCTTTATTAGATGGCACCTCACTGAGGCCATGCTGGCTACTCCATGTACAATTGCACCCCCTCCATTTGCCTGGGAGCGGCTAAATATACTATATGTTTAACTTATTTATATTGTGTGTGTCCCTTCTCCCTCCACTGGAGTATAAATTCTAGAGAGGTGAGGGTTTTTGTGTAGCTTTGCTTACTGCTCTCTCCCCAGGGCCCGTGGTAGTGGCATGGCTGGATGGTCAATGAAATTTGTTGAATTGATGTCCTGGATACTGTTGTTAAGAGTTTGTGTTTGTTGCGGCATATGAAAGAACTGCCCTTTGCAATTTACTTCAAAATTATCTTACTGTGAAAAAACACACAGTTTTCTTTTATTCTAAACAATTGTGGTAAAGCTGCCTACCTTATCCCCAATATTCCATACCTTATTACATAAGAAAATATTAGAAAGATAATTCTACATTGTGAATGAGTGCACTTCAGCTTTTTGTCGTTTTAAATGTGCCACTAACCTGTGAAATTTGTTGAAAAGAAATTATTTTTATAGAGTGGTGCCCCAGTGTGTGGCAGAGAACTAGTTCTCCTCACATTCCCCTGTTGTGGGAGGACTGGGCATTGCCCGTTTTCTTGTGTAAAGAAGGACATGGCTCTTTGACTTATTGCACGATGGTGTCAAAAAAGGAAGAGGAAAATTGAAAATTACTGTTGCTGTTTTTTCAAATAGATGTAGTCTTAGTATGTGCCAAGGTTGGCCCGAACTCCTGGGCTCCAGTGATCCTCCTGCCCAGCCTCCTGAGTAGCTGGGACCACAAGTGCACACCAAGTGGCTGTGACATGTATTTATAGGACTGCAGAGTTAAACCCTGTCCTCTTTTGTTCTCAGAGTCAGAGCTCAGGATAAAGAGGTCCTCCTTGGGGAGTGGTTTTCATCTTGCTTTGATCACTTTGCCCTTGCTGGGGCGGAGCGTGCAGCCTTCTGACAGTGCCTCATTTTGTAATTTTGGCCTGTCTTCCCTGGGGATGTGCCTGGAGCGCTTGTTGTGCTGCAGGTGTGATGGGTCTGTCATCACACAGTGGGAGAGGAGAGGACATGGCATTCAGCGCTGCCAACCCAGGTGCTGCACTCGGTGCTGCCTCATGTGACTAGATCTCAGCTTCATAGGACCTAGGACAAAGATAATTGTACCATAATTTTCCATGTGGAAAAATGAGTTTTGGTGGCTTTCCTCAGTGTTAATAAATAGCAGAACTGATTCTGAATCTTTTAAAGTGTTTAGTTGACTAATATATGTTTATGATTTTTGTCTTCTCTTTTGGGGCTGTTTTCTAGTTTGACTTTGAAGGGTCACTTTCTCCAGTCATTGCACCCAAAAAAGCAAGGCCTTCTGAGACTGGATCTGATGATGTAAGCATTATTATTTCTTTCTAATATAAATAATCAGTGGATGATTGTACTGGTTTTCTGCTTCTGTGGCATTCCTATTTGTCTGTATTTCCAGCATATTTTGCTTAGTTTATTTTAATACTGAATAATAGTTATTTGGAAGAGAAGGATTTGTTCTGTTTCCGGTGGTCATTTATTTACTTTTCCTCATTCACCATTTAAACATGTGTATTGCTGTGTGATTTGAGTGTGAACTTACAGATATTTTATTGTCAGTGTTTTACTGGTCACCTAAAGTGATCACTTCCCTTTTTATGCCTTAGTTCTCTAACTGGACTCTTAAATACACCAGATTCCATGTTCTCTGGAAATGGCATGGCTGTTTTGTAGTTGTTTCTCCTTTCTTAGTGCTGTGATGTTTTAAAAGTTTTTTTCTTATTTCTATAATGACCTATGTGAAGATGAAACTTGAATTTTTTGAAGTGGATGTGGTTTTCTTTTTTAATAATGACATTATAAAGAGGCATCATTGTATTAACAATATTCTTTTTATTTTTCTTAGGACTGGGAATATTTAGTAAATTCAGACTACCACCAGAATGTTGAGTCTCATCTTTTGAACAGATCTTTATGTTTGAGTTCTTTGGAAGGTTCAAAAGTGAAGGATGAAGATTTCTCACAGAACCTCAGTCTGGATTCTTCTACTCTTCTCTTTCCTCATATACCTGCAATTTTTTTTGTTCTTCACCTAGTCTATGAGGAGCTTAAATTGAATACCCTAATGGGTGAAGGAATTTGTTCCCTAGTTGAACTTCTCGTTCAGTTGGCAAGGTAAATATTGTTTGTGTGTTAGAAACAGCCTTGAGGTCCTTAGGTGACTTTCTTTTCTTTTTTTTTTTTTTTTTCAAGAGACTTAAAACATCACTATTTTTATTGACAAGGTTTGTAAGAACGGATATTTAAAATCAAAGGTCAATTTTTAGGTCGTTGTTGCTTATTCCATTCTCTTGTATTAAGTATGCTTTCCCCTAATGTCCTAACTTTATCAAGAAACCAACCTGTGAAAGTACCTGTTAAATCACTTATATAAGTTGACTTTATTTTCTACGCTACCATTAGGACCCTTGTGAGTTTCTGAAATTTACCTTCTTAGGCAACTAGAGCATTTTCTGTAAACCATAGAATTGTGTGAAGATACTAGTTGAGTAAGTGCCTATGGACCATAGTGGGATTTTTAGTTTTTGTCACAAAATCAGCAGAAAATCACAAGAAAATGGGGATGACCATTCTTGAGAGTAGGTATCCTTCCTGTTACAGTGAAGAAGAAACTGTCAAATGTTTGTGAGCCTGGGCTCTTTGTGCAGATTTAGCTTGTTGCAGCTCAGGGCCTTTCGTGAGTTTCAGGCACTCCTAGTGGACCCAGGTGGCGCTCCTAGTAGATTTCAGCAGACTTTGTGGCTCCTTGTGTTTGGCTCTGAATTCCAAAAGTCACACTTGGGTGTTGTTTGAGCCCTTTTGACCCTTAGTGAGAGAGAAGATAAAATTGATATTTCCACCTTAGAGTTAAAGAATATAGCACATTTGCTGCTTTGTGTGATCTTCTTTGAGATCGTGAAATTTTTTTTCTGAGATGTGGCAGTTTTAATTGCTGTCAGTTTCACTTAGAACAAATCATTATTGTCATGAAAATTCTTTTGTAATTAATTAATTCCCAAACCCCAATCATGCTCTCTGAAATCAGTGGCATTTTTATAGTGTTCGACAATTTATAAGGTATTTTTTCACATAGGTTTTCTTATAATTGTCAGAGCCTTGGACTATGTTAGCTAGTGTTTCCTACTGTGTAGGAGAAAACTCTGAAGTTTGTGGAGATGATGTGGTGGAGGTCACACAGCTGTCCCAGAGGGGCAGGAGCCTGGAGTGCTTTTCTGTAGTTTTGCCTCCGTGAAATGTACCTAGCAAAAGGGGCTTGTGTTGCACTGTCAGTCTGGGTGCCTCAGAGCCCAGAAACACAAGTCGAGACTGTACATTGGATTATCTTCTGTGGCATGAGCACATTTTTAAATTGAAAAGTTCCATTGATGAATCTTAACTCTGTAGAGGGAAAGTGCTGTACCTTCTTCTATATATTTGCTTATGTTTTAGGGACTTACAGTTGGGGCCTTATGTCGATCATTACTACAGAGACTATCCCACGCTTGTCAACACTACTGGACAGGTGTGCACAATTGATCAAGGTAAGCGTTGGTGCCAATAAAGATGCTCTGAACTGTGTGGTGGCATTTGCTTGTGTCTTTCTCAGTGAATGGCAGAGGTTGTATTTCTTACCACCAGCCCAGGGCCATGACTTTTCACCTGGCAGACTTTAGTTTGTAGTATTCAATCCCTGACTGATTGTAAGTCATAACCTCTTCAGCATGTAGGGGAAACTTCACCCTCCCTATGGGGTCTGAATGGCGGAAACTTGGAGAGTTTCTGGTACTTGGGATGCTCCAACCTGGACCTGTGTTATCCTGCTAGTAGCCACTAGCCATGTTATTTGAATTTAATAATAAAAATACATACAAACGTGTGTATATATATATGTATAAACTGCACTAGCCATGCTTCAAATAGTCACATGGGGCTGGTGCCCATCATGTTGGACAGCAAGATGAAAATGTCCTACATTATCACCTTGAGCTAATGGGACTTAGCAGGGCCTCAATTCTTAGATTAGAGGTAGATCCTTGATATCTCTTGTGTTTTCTCACCTTTAGGGTTAGGCTAAAAAGTTTTAGTTAGACATTTTTATATAGTATAGTAAGATAGTCAGTTGTTTACTGTGACAGAAAACATGAGGCATTTTGGAGAACATGGAGAAATGTTGTTTCGAGATGACATGTACTTTTTTTTTTTTT